ATACGGCCCCTGAAAGAATACCTATGCTTAAAAAGATAAACCCTAGACTAATAATACGATAACTCCAATGATCTAATTGTTGAATCAGTTGAGACTTATAATAATTTTTATAAGAAAAAAAATAAGTGTTTCTTAAAACATTGTTCTCTTCGTTCATGTATTGGATCTCATCAAAGGAAAATAACGCATTTAATAAATGATTGTTTTTACCAAAAATTCTTATAGAGTTTTGAAATGTAATCACTATAAGAGCTACTGAAAATAATGATCCACATAAAAGAGATGCATAACCCAATACCATCATACTTACGTGCATCATTAACCAATGAGATTGGAGAGCGGGAACTAATAGTGGGGATTGATGCATTTCAGTTAAAAAACCTGAAGTAGCAAAACCTTGGGTAAAAATCGTACTTGGTGCAGTTATTGCGCTTACACTTAAATGGTTTTTATATTTTTTTAAATACGTAAATAGATGAATAATGGAGAAACCCCATGAAAGAAATAGTAATGATTCATATAAATCACTTAATGGTAAATGCCTCAAATAAATCCAACGAGTAACTAATAATCCTGTTATACAGAAAAAAGTAGCTATCATACCCTTTTCTGACGAAGCATAGAGTCCTACGGTTTCATCGACTAATAAGGTTATCAAATGAATTGTAATGACAGTTGAAATGACCGAAAAAGATATATGAGTTAATATATGCTCTAAAGTTGAAAATATCATAAAAAAAATTTCAAAAGGTCCCTCAATTCAATTATTTGAATTAATATCGGGGACGTGAATTAATTATATTATAGAACTTGTTTTATAATATAAAATGGCATGCCGCTACTCGGACTCGAACCGAGATGCTCTAGCACTGCTTCCTAAGAGCAGCGTGTCTACCGATTTCACCATAGCGGCTTTCTCGAAATCATAATAACCTATTATTATTCACTCGTCGAGATTGAAAAAATATAATTAGAATAAATTTTATTAATTTAATAATAGTTTGATTTTAGAGGATTTTGCAAACCAATTTAATTATGTATTCGGCGGGATATATTCTATAATAGTAATAATGATTTCGAGAAAAGAAATAAGGGTTCATAGAATGAAAAAATACGGTTTTAACTTAATCCACTAATGTCATCATTTTAACGTCCGTCTCATTAAATTTTTAATAAAGAATTTCAGTTTACTATTTGATTAAATATAGAAAATATATAATAAAATAAAAAATCAATAAAAACTTTTTCGTTTATTGGGGCGATGGGATTCGTAGTTGGTTGGAAAAATCTTTTGGGTCAACTTGAAATTTTTCTTTTTTAAAAAAAAACATAATTCTTGAGTACTATTCATGTGTATATTGAGTGTTCTAAGTATTTAAGAACATATAATATACTTTTTTTTTAATATAAATAATTACGTCTAAACTATAAAATCAATAATCGTGCATGGACGACATACATTTTTGAACTAAAAAAATATGTTTTTAGAAGAATCTTTTGGGCAATCTCGAAATTTTGGATTGTTTGGGTTGGTGACGTGATTAAACGAATAGAGTTCACAACTCAATCCAGCCGAATCCATCTAGTTGATGAGTTACTTTTTTTTTTTTAATTATTTTAAAAAATCATACTTATCTACGATAGATATTACATTAATAACTAAAATCTTATTAATTTTAAATATCAAAGTCACAACGCATCACCAATATCGATTATAAACGTCGAGAAAAGAAATCTAACTTAATTATACTCTTTTAGTTTGGGTTAAGTATTATGATCTCGACAATTAGACAAAGCCAAGACGGGAGAGCACTTAGACAATTTACGAGTACAGAAAAGTTTGCGGGTAGGAATTTCTTAGGACGTATTACGGTTTTTCTTCAAGGGAGTGGATCGAAGCGATTGCAACGAAAAATTGATCTCAAACGAAGCACTTCATCAATGGGTATTGTAGAAAGAATAGAATATGACCCTAATTGTTCTTCTCGGATGGCTCCAGTACAATGAATCGAGGGGGTCCACTAGTCCCAGTTGATCATGTTATCTGGTCATATGAACACGGCTCATTTTAAGGTTTTTTTTTAATAATTATTATCAGTTTAGTTAGAACTTTGAACTTAGTTTTGCAAAAAAAAAAAGAAAAAAAAAAATCATAGTTTGACTTGTAATTTGACTCGGGAAAACATGTATGTTCTTATTAACTAAGAGATCAGATGTT